GAGTAACAGCTATGATCTCACTGAATAATTGATATGATAGCAATTCAATTATATTAAATACTAGAATAGAAATTTTCAAACAAACTAGGCATAAAACGTACGTTATAATATTCATTGTTTAAGTAAGAAGTGAAAATGTAATTTTATTACTGTACAAGGAGATTGATTTATATATCGACTCTTTCTTGAATCATGGAACCCTGGTTAACGTGTCAAAATGTTTTAAAAATGATATGACATATATAACCAAAATTCTATAAAAACAGTACGAAAGCTATGACATGATTTGCGTCAATAGTATTAAACTCGAGTATACACGGCAGCTAAGAGTTAAAAAGATTTAATTACAGAGATTATGACTTTTAAACTGAAGATAAGTCTTATTGTGATCAATTGTTGAAGAAAATGGATGGATAGTAAGCCCATTTTACCAAAGAATACGTGAAAACGCAATTGAAATGGTTTTATGACCATTAGGGCAGGTACGCACGAGACAGGTAGTGCGCTAAAGCGGTGGGTCGAATGTTATCTTAGAGTAATAATATAATCTCGACTACGACGGTGTAATAATTATCTTGAATTCTGAAACTATGTGTCCGTTTAGATCCATGGAACAATTAACATTAACTTTTGTTGAGAAGATTGAGTATTTAAAAAGCAGGTAGCTGTATTTGCATGAGAAATATGATACATCGTAATGATATGAATTTTCGTAATTGAAAACTGGTCATATGTCAAGAAATCTGCCTGATGTTATTACTTCATTTGTGTCGCAAGTTATTAATATTAAATTCTTGTATTAAGAATTGTGTTTCGTTTGTGCTTGACGGATTTGACATGACTGTTTGAAATCATGAAATCGTGTAACAAGAATATCAAAGGAATTGGCGAAACGATTAAACGAGCCTACTTTAGAGAAACGGAATTGTTTACTGATTGTTGACTTATCTTGTTGAAGCCTCTGGAAAATCCTCAGATTGCCTGTTGTTTGATATGTTTCCCAGTTGATTTCACTTAATAGTCCATTTGACGCACATGGGAACACACCAGTGTGGTCATTCACTACGATTTTCAAACACTTTGCGATACACATTGTAACACTTAATCCTGATTATTGCACTGTAAACTGAGCTTATGCACTGAGCAAGTTCGTAGTATCCGGCTCGAAGGACCAAAAATGTTCACGCGCTGGGCAAAATATTAATTATTTATAGCTGTTTTCGAAGGTTGTAAATCTTCGTCGACCCATGGCGTTTCCACAACTTGTTACGGTAGTGGAATTATATGTAGAGTTAGTATTATAGAGTAGAATTTATAGAGTGGTTCAGAGTCCTCCACACTGGTGCGCCCAGGTCAATGAAGGATGTAGATCATCATCCCACTAATTATACTGGTTGTTGTGTGTTGATGTAGTTGACAGTTACAAAGTTAATCTAAGACTGACCAGAGTAAGT